CGGTACGACAAATAAAGCTACGCAAATGCTTTTTCTTCTTATTAACCGTCTATTATCTATTTTTGAAGATAGGACTCTCCCAACTCCTTCCATTGATCTCTATGCTGAGCAACATACTTTCAATTTGTTCTGGCTCTTTTTATGATGTCAACAACTAGACCTACCTATGAATATCGTGGTCCCCTGTATAGGCTACTTAAGCATGAACAAATGAGCAGGATCCTCACTACGGAGAAAAAAATTCTCCGTAAACTCTGTAGAAAAGTAAATTATATCCCTTCGCACTAATCTATAACACCGCTGGCATTCTTGTCATAACCTTTCCCATCAAATCCCTAGACAAGAGATAGGCCTTAAACGAGTAGAGGCCCAACACCCAACAAGGCGCCTTATGAGCTTTAAGGACATATATTATTTAGATGCCCCAAAAAACTTATATTTCTACCCTTTTCGCTGGCTTTTGTCAGTCCGGCCTTTTCAACTGAATACTACGATTTCCTCTAAAGTACTCCTTATGAGTATCGCATAATAAACAATTAAAACGAGAGTAGGAGATTAATTTTCTGTGGTTCCCAATATTATTGCACAATAATATCTGTCTTAGGTGAGGTTACAGTCACAGCTATCCTCCTCGCTTTGTAAAAAAAGGAATGAAAGGAATCGTTTGTAAATATGCTGATGATATTCGTCGATTGGCAACCATATCCTACCTACACCTCAGAAAACACCTACAACACCCAAATCCACGAAGAAGGTCTCTGAAAGTCTACCAAGAGTTCACTGAGACCACTCTCTCGACATTTGCTCTGATTTGAATTCGGCGGTCATTTGCGGAAATCAGACACCCAATACCAAACACATTAGGCAATTCCTTGAAAAGGCAATAGCTTTAAAACAAGGACATCTCTCCTTGAACAGTACCCAATTTTTCCAAATCCGTTTTTTAGAGAAAATCAACAGCAAGCTCGGGTGCCACGATATAAAGATATTGCTGATATCCTAAAAGGATAACACTGTTAACTAGAAAGTTAGTACCTCTTTAAACAGACTAGAATTGCTCTGCGGAAATCCAAAAACAGATTAGTTTCCTTAACCATGTGACCTAAGATCAGCACTATTTGCTTTTAATAATCTCGTTCTAAGATACACAATTAAGACCGTTACCTAACATCATAAATCAGGTCTAAAGTAGTTTTAAAAGTGAACATTTGTCTACTCGAATAATGGGGCAGAGGAGATGCTTGAACCAAATTGCAGGGTTATATCTGGATAGGTATACAAACAGGTCTAAGACTGCAGAAGGGTCAGGAGCAGGAATATTTATTCGTGTTGTTCATTACTAAAATACATCTGTATTTTACTCAGAGATGTATACAATTTTGCACTGCGCAAGAGAAATGTACATGAGGGATTTTGAACTGAAGCGACCATCGAGACTGAGAAGCTCTAAAATTCTAGGTTAGTATGAAAATGTCGAGGGGAACTCGAGAGATAGAATAACCATCAGAGGTATGGGTTTCAAGTCACCGGAAAATACACGACAATAAAGAAACTGATGTGTTTGTCAGAAGAGCATCAGTTACAAAATATTTCGGTCAAGAGCCGGTGGTGAGAGTGCCAAAATCACTGTCACATGTAAAAAGCAGTCCATCACATACTGCACGACTTTAAAAACATCTAGTATCAGTCCTCTAGATATTTACAAGCTGGTACAGGATTCCAGAATCTGAAATTCGTATCATGCATAAATAAATTTGTGCAATAGACCAACTGGCTGAAGTACGACCAGTTTATAGTAGGTGGTTAAAAAAAAACTTTTACATCTGCTTCACAGACTACAACAAGACCTTTTGATAGAGTTAATCATGATAGACGGATGGAAATTCTCAGAAATAAAAATCTGCCCACTACAACACTTTTACTACAATCAAAGAATGACATTAAAATTTAAGAGTTAAATAATAGAATGAGTCAGACAAGGATGTATAATTTCATTACTTTACCTTTTAATTTCATACCTTTATCTGAATCTTTTATTTAGCGGTTAGTCTGAGTAAATCGTACTAAATCGTAAATGAATAAAATGTTATGAAGCTGTGGAGGATATAGAAATTAGTAATCGACTTCATAAAATAAGAAAAAGTAATAATACTAACGAAGTCCTTATGATAGCAGGTTAGCGAAAAGTCGAAAGAGGAAAAAAGTATATATATCTAGAAATACTAATAGCAGAAATAACGGCTACACTGCCCAAATAAAAGTTAGAATTAAAAATTTGATGACACAAAAAAAAAAGGAAAACTGTAATAACTGACATAATTTGTGGAAAAAGACAAAGCATCTTACGGCTCATAATCCAAGGCAAAGTAGAGGGTCAAGGAATGTGATTTTAAGATGAATCATTTGACAGAATCCTAAGACAACGGTATGGCTGCAGCACAGAAAACTCATAAGAGTAGTTGCTTAGAAACTTAGATTGACTATAATGATTGCCAACCTCAGTAACGAAGATAGTATTTGAATAGATAAATACCACGAAGCCGAATGATGGAACATGTCCGAAAATGACAAAAAAAAACTTGATACAGTCTAATGGAAAAATATTCCAAACAAAAGGTTACTAGGATCTTCTAATTGTCACACAAAAGTACTATTGGAGCTTAAAAAAACTCATAGTAACCGCAGTTGTTTTCACAGAAAATTGCTCTTTAAGATGCATGATTTAAAACGCAGATGTAACAACCAAACAGATTATCAGCAACAGCAGAGTAAATATTGTTCAAGAATATAAATACCTGTGATAGCTCTTTTAGAGCCTGATCAGGTAACAAACGTAAAAGACCTCCATATAAGTCCAAATCCTTTGGACTAAACCACGAATATAGGAGATAAAAAATCATCGTGTAGAAAGGTTTTCGGAGTCACGAGTTCTTAAAATCAAAACTCTGTACTCTATAACACTAGAAGAACTAGCTCAAGTTACTTGTGTAAGTTTCTGTATTATCTTCTTCCTCCACCAAGCTTCGAATTCGTTTGTAGCTTATTAAACCTATTAATATCAAGAGACAAGATAGTCACTAGTTGACGCCTGCGCAGAACTAGAATATAAGATTGCTGGTAACTAGGTTTTCCATTAAACATAATTGCGATAGCAGACAACTAATAGCAAAGAAAGTTTTCCACGTTTAAGAAATATAAAGCGTTCATGGTTTGAAGCAATTTTTCAAGTGGCTTTTCATGCCCGCTTTCGAAATAAAACCCTTACCACAAATAGGACAAAGATAGGGTTTTTCGCCAGTGTGAGTTTTAATGTGGTATCTGTAAGGCGAGCGTTGACCAAACGTTTTTCCGCAGTACTTACACACGTAAGGCTTCTCTCCGGTATGTACTCTTGAGTGTTCGATCAATAAATCCCTCATAGCAAACCGTTTGGGACACATCAAACAAGCGTAAGGTTTGTCTCCGGTATGTACCCGCAAGTGGTACTTCAGCCTACCCATGCACGATATTCTTTTGCCGCAAATTTCACAGATTACAGAAATATCAGGTTGGATATTGCGGTGCTTAATATTGGTATGGCTAGTTAAACCTGTGGATGACTCGAATTCTTTGTCGCAAAATTCACATCGGAACTTCTCTCGGGGCTTACCGGTTAAAATTTGACAGTGAGTTTTAATTCGATGATTGGCCAAGCCCCTAGAATACATAAAGTGTTTTCCGCAAATTTCGCACTGAAATGGCTTTTCCCCAGTATGGAAGTTCCGATGTTCGTCTGCGTGGCTACCACATCGGAAAGCTTTCTGACAGATCTCGCACTTATATTTGGTACTACCTTCGTGAAGCCTGACGTGTAATTCAAAACGATCTTTACGTAGATTGGTAAAGTTACATATATGACATGTATATTTTGATTCTTCGCTGTGTTCAATAGAATGGAGAGCATAGTGGAGGTTGGTGAAGAAGGTCAGTTCGCAAGATTTGCATTTTATTGGTTCATCGAGTATTACTGGGTCTGGAGGAGGTGTCTTTTTATATTTTTCTCCATTTATGTTACTTTTTTTGATCTTTGGCTGTCTTCCTGTCGGTGGCCTTCCACGTTTCTTGGGACTAAAACAAAAAAAATAACAGTTCTACTGAATTTTATCTCTTTATTATTAATAGTTTATAAAGACATAAAAACTGTTTCCTAAACATTTTTAAATCGTATTTTGCCCGATTGGTCGAGAAAAATTACACATTGGAGGCCAAGAGCAGACAAACGTAGTAGAGGAAGACTACCTACACGTTGGGCTGACGACATTAGGTGTATCACGAAAAATTGGCAATAAAGAGCACAAAATCGCAAAGAATAGAGGATTTAAAGGGAGGCCTATGTCCAGCAGTGGACTTGATAAACGAAGGCTTAATGATGATGATGATGATGATTATATATATATATATATATATATATATATAATATATATATATATATATATATATTTATATAAGGAGAATTAAAAAACAATGAGTTGCAATAAAGTTATGGATAAAAGCTCTTCAGGATCTTGTAAAATGGGATTTAGCTTTAATTTAGCGATTGCTAAATTTAAAAAGATTAATTTTTTCCTGAATTATCGAGCTTTGAAAATGACCATTTTTTTAGACCTTAAATTGTTTACAACTCGAAAACAATGCATTTTAGAGAAAAGTTTTATGCGCTTTTTGATTATAATGAGCCAGTTAACCAAAAAAACTTACAAAAAAAAAATTGAAATTTGACAATTTGTTTAAAAAACACTTTGTCTAGTTAATATGCACTTTTGTTATACGGGAATCAATTCAAGTAAGATTGAATTCAAGTAATGGCTGTTTCATGAAGACTAAAGCTGCAGACTTGATAGCAGATAAACTAAAACATTCGACCATCTTTTCCATAATTGCAAGTCATTGGATCATAGGCAACAACAGAAATAGAAGGAAACAGAGTTATTTTGGGTCATCTATGTGACCTATGAACTTACTTATCGTGACGTCTAATGTGTAGCTCCATCCTATCCCTTCGTATATTTTGGTAATTCGGACACAGATGACATGTATATTTGTTATCTTTGTTATGCTTAATCGAATGAACAGCAAAATCTACGTCATAATCAAATTCTACCTTACAAATACTACATATTCTAGGCTCTTCTAATTTAACTAACTCAGGAAGAGGAGAGGGCTCCTTTTTGAATTTCTCAAGCTTTGGCTTTTTCTGCGATGGCTCTTTTTTGATTTTTATTTTTTTCTTTACCCTAAAATTTATTCACTGGTTAGTAATTTTTATTATTTAATGCTAAGAGATTAAAGTTGGTCTTACAAATATTCGTCCATGCATCAAAATTACGTTCACTGGTTCTTCTTTCTTATGATCACAGGTACAAATGCAAGGATAAGAAAAAAAAATAAATTTAATACGATATATAATGATAAATAACAAATATGTATAAAAAATTTAGGATAAATCCATAGAATATGTCTTTAAATATATAGAAATACATTTCAAATAGTACAATTCTATATTATCCCATTCAATCTCTGAAAAAATCATCGATTTCACATACAAAAAATCTTATACAGATATTTAAAGCTTCTAAAAGGTATATGAGGGATAGGCGATGTGGCAACTCCTAGAAGGCGATGTTGCTGATTTTGCTTTGTTTTTTTAAACAGATTGAAACCATAAAACGTTTCCATACATATTAGAGAAAAATAGTTCAAATAAAATTTGTAGATCTTAAAAAGTCCTTAATGTGAGAGATTTAAAATTAAAATACATAAATAGTTGACCGAGATAGTTGCAAAAATAGTTGACCTATTTTTGCAGTAATTTATAAATATTAATAAACTTGTTTTTTTGAATAATGATATGTAATACAACTATTTAAGATTATGGCAATGAATGAGTTATTGAAGTCTAGTAAATTGCAGCTAGATCGACCGAATTTATTCAATCTGTTATTCCGGCGAGCGATTATTTAAACTGTAGCATTTGTAAATTCCTTGGTATATATTGGAATCCCCCTCGTATATGTATTAAATTGAAATTTCCTCATGTATGTATTAAAATAAGGAAGAATGTTTTAAATGTTTCTCTGTTCGTGTCGTACGAGTTTTTAAACCCAAATAGTATTTCATTCTATTGCCAGAGTTTGGCAAAAGTGGCGATTCACACGGCTTGGAGTAGTTTAGTGTCCCTAAAGGCTGAAAATACCCTTTTTGGCTAAAGTAACAGTGTATGAGTCAGTGGTAAGATCGATTTTTACTTATGGGTCTCAGGTATGGGGTATTTTTGAATACGATGAGGTGGAAATAATTAGAAGATTTTATATAAAAAAAATGTTTTCTTGTCCAAGGTATTGTCCTAACTTTATGTTAGATTTGGAGACAGGTATTGCTAGAGTCAGCCTATATACGATGAACTTACATAAAAACTATGTTAAAAAAATACTAGGATATACGAATGATAGGTTGCCAAAATTTCTTTTGAAGGAAATGATGAGAGCAAGGTGTGGCTGGTGGAAAGATTGGATGAGCATGGGAGAAAAATTTGGTATTGAGGTTAGGTGTGAATGGGAATGGAGAGATAGCTGGCCTAGTATGATTGAGAATATGATAGAAAAGAAGAAGGAGGAGATACAGCGACAGGCTGACAACAGGGCACTCGAAACAAATTTTTGTGTACACTACAAAGAACTGCGGGAAGAAGGAGTAAACATGCATTACCTACTGGAAATGGAAAATTTTGGGGATATTCGATGGCTCTTTAAATTAAGATGTGGAATTCTATATTTGAATGATCGACCTGGCAGAAATGATGAAAGAAGATTTTGCTCAATGTGTAACACGAAGGAAAGGGAAGATGTGATACATTTTTTGGGGAAAATGTTCGGTGTTGAGACATATTAGGTTAAAGTGGTTGGGTAGACATGAACTTAGTAGAGTGGAAGTAGTTACTATGATGAGACAGGGCAAGGCTGAGTTAGCAGGTTATTGTAGGGAGGCATGGGTGTATAGGTATGAGTTAGTGAGCCTATTTAACTACTAAATCTGTTAGCGTGGTGTTATATTAAAGTTAGTATTAATAATTTGTTTGCTTAAATCTATTATCTTTTTATCTATCTGGTCTATCTTGACTAATATTGTTATTATTATTATTACTATTATTATTGCTTGTATCTGCAGCTTTCACTCCCTCAAAGGGATATTCAATCTTTTCAATTGTAATCTATACCTCACTGTTATACATTGTTATTATTGTTGAGTCTAGTGCCAAGTGTTACTTAGTAGGATATACACATTTAGTTTATTACTATAAAATTTATATGAATATTTACTTAATTTATTTTTTATTAATTTTAATGACCTTGTTAGATATAACGAGCCTTAGTGTAATTTTTTGTATATCAGAGAATAATATTTGTTTGCCAACCCTCCTGATGGCATGTGCCAAGGAGAACAAATGTCACTAAAAGTATTGTATTGTATTTTTTTTATATTGAGAAATAAAAGGCATTATTCATTGATTGATTGATTGATCATTCTTTTTACGTCGCCGAAGTTGATATAAACACATTTTACAGTTTGTTTATATTTCACAGATGCGTATTTTGTCGGTATTCTTTGATCGAAGCCTCTTTTAGGGTATTTTGCGTTTCCATTCCCGTTGTAAGTGTTTTGTTTAGACCAAGTTATGCGAATGATTTTTAAGAATTAGCTCACTTTCGCGGAGACAACTGCTTCCAGCGTCCAAATTTTTCGTCGAATTTGTATTGTTTCCTAGTCCTTTATCCTTTTATTATGGGAAAATGTGTAGCAGTGTAAAGTATAGTAGCAGTTCAAACAATAGTTACAGTTAGAGTGAAATTTTGAAGATAACCACATGTTGCTACTGTGTTCAGTTATACCTGTTCCAGTATTTTAAGAAGACTAGTTTCCACTGTATGTGTTCCACTGCTAGCTTCCACCCTCATTTTCTTATCATTGGTCGTTGTCCTAGTCTATAGATACATTTTTTTGCGTGACAGTGAAAGTCCAGTTTCCAACCTCAGAAAATATGTTGAGTAATAAGTTTGGTGAAATCAAGGTAACTTTTTTTGTGTTTAAATTTCAAAGTAAAAATAGACGTTTTTTAATATTAATAATTGCTTTCATTAAAATTTAAGAATTTGTATTAATTAAAATTATATATCCTAGGGCGTGGTTAGCTGTCATTTTAGTTGTTCTGTTTTAAATTTAATGTTGACATATGACAGCTCGTTTTATTATTTTTGATATTAATTTATTTTGGTTTTTTAAAGAAGGTTAACCTCTCTGTGACTACTTTCATTTCAAAGGTATTTCTTTATTTGTAACAATTTCTTTGTAAGTTTTGTAGTAGTTTTTTTTTTAAATCATTTAGTTAATTTTTTTAATTTACTCTTTAACCCCTTTTTTGAGTTTCATTTAAAAAGATATTTTTTCATTTCTAATAATTATTTCACAAGTTACAACTAGTTGTTGTAATCGTTATAATTTGGCACCTCAAAGCGGCATCCTTTTTAAATGGCTAGAAGTCTTTCTTGTTTTTTGTTTTGTCCATTTGTCCAGGAGATTTATATAAGTACCCCTTTGTTTTCTTTTTTGTAGTTGCCCCACTTGACATTCACTTATCCACGACCCAGATACTCCAAATAAACCCTGAGTGCCGTTCGCATAAGTATCGTTTATTTTGCTTGCCCTATCTCCACCCCAATAGTTTCTGTCCCCAATTTTCAACTTTCTATAATAATACCCTATGTGGTAGGCAAAATATTTCATTACAAAACAGAAATAAAAACATCTATTAAAAAAATTAATTACTATTTATAACTGGGAATAAGTCACAATTAAAGATAAAAATACGTTTATTGACGTTTCAATTTCCAATTCGGAATCGTTCTCAAAATACAAACAGTAAATTAAACAAATTTTGTTTTTTGTTACATAGTGAAAAAATTCTTCTAATAATTTAATTTTATCTGACTCATTTATATTGACAATTCAGACATACATTATGCATTTTAAAGTAGACGACTTTAAAATGATATTGCCAATATTGTTGAGTTGCGCTCCTGGGACGACTTTACTTATAAGATAGTATATTCGATTACGTGAAATCAACTTTAACTTGAGAATATCCGTCAGAAAAAATCATAGCATGTAATTCGTCTTTAAAAAGACAAACACATGACATGATGACAGTAAAATTCTCCTGTTAGTGATTCCATAGTAAATTATGAGGGAAAACCCAGGAAAAAAAACCTCATAATACTATCCCGACATTGTAAGTATTTGTTCGTGAATTTAGTTTACCTTCAACAAACATCAAAATTCTGATTTTATATGTTACGTTATTTAAAAAACATAAATGATATATCCTCTATATGTTACTGACTTACTAATACTGGTATTTTCTTATTAATAACTTCCTCTTTCAATATTGGTAACCAGATCCTACTACATTCTGCCGAGGAATTTGCGACACAATTGGCCTCATTTAGAGCCGCTTCTTTGATTTTTCTTTTTTTACCATCCGTTTCTTTTAGGACTATATTTGAATTATTCCATTGAACCCTATGTTCATTATCCCATGCGTGTTTACATATTTGAGATCTATCAAATTCTCTATTTTTAATATAAGATTGATGTTCACTTATTCTAACATTTAATGGCCTTGATGATTCACCTAAATAAAACTGATCGCATTCACAAGGTATTTTATAAATGCAATTCTTTGTCCTTTCTTGTTCATTGTTAGGTTTGGTTTTGGACAAAAATTTTTTTCCCTCATAATTTACTATGGAATCACTAACAGGAGAATTTTACCGTCATCATGTCATGTGTTTGTCTTTTTAAAGACGAATTACATGCTATGATTTTTTCTGACGGATATTCTCAAGTTAAAGTTGATTTCATGTAATCGAATGAACTATCTTATAAGTAAAGTCGTCCCAGGAGCGCAACTCAACAATATTGGCAATATCATTTTAAAGTCGTCTACTTTAAAATGCATAATGTATGTCTGAATTGTCAATATAAATGAGTCAGATAAAATTAAATTATTAGAAGAATTTTTTCACTATGTAACAAAAAACAAAATTTGTTTAATTTACTGTTTGTATTTTGAGAACGATTTCCGAATTGGAAATTGAAACGTCAATAAACGTATTTTTATCTTTAATTGTGGCTTATTCCCAGTTATAAATAGTAATTAATTTACAATGCCACAAGAAAA